TGTTTTGGCCCATATTTTTCTCTGGTTGAAATTTTAAAATAATCCTTTTTTGAATAAGTCAACTATATTCCTCAGACGAGATTCTTCGTGGAAAAAGTGTTAAAACGTAGTTTGGCAACTGGCTGATGAACGTTGACATTCACGCTGCAGTGACAGATTAAAGGATATTTTGAGATCAGTACAAGTTTGGATGATGTGATGTTTACCCTCCCATCCGTCCAGATGCTGGTGGTCTTCAAGTCGTCCCCCATCTTGAAACGTGCCTTGCGTGTTCGTCACTCCATGCTGCAGTTGTATGTGTTGAAGCTCCTCAAACTTCAAAGCCGTTATTTTGGTCGGCAATGGCGAAAGAACAACATGTCTGTCATGTCTGCCATTTACCAAAAAGTTCGTCATCGCCTCACGGATGATTGGGCATATGGAAACGGTATGTATCATCACTTCATCTTCATGGCTTCCCTGTGTACCTTAGCCACCCACTTTCCTACAGGTTAGGGCTTCCATGCAGATGCATGGAATCTGCCTCCTATGATCGGAGAGTGTTGAGGCAATAGTGAGTGTTAAAAGACATTGGTAACCATGTGGTAAAGTGCGGAACCTAAATGCGGGAATCGAACATCCTAAGGTAATGAAAACTTGGCATGATGAATTGGACTTACAGCCTCCCACCATTATTAAAAGTAGAGTAAGGTGCTACGTTGGCGAGTTTCTTATTAGTGGGCAGCCAGCCTCACTCCAAATGGCGAGGCGTGATGCGTAGCACAACTGACTATGCATGGGTTCAGTGTAAAATCACCCTTTTTCTTTGGTCAAACCCAGTTCAGCGTCAGCCTAATCTGGCCAACGCTCATGCACTTGCACTACTCACTAGCTCATGACTTTGAGTTTCAGGAATCTGGCCTTGCTTTGCATGAATCATCGTCGTTTACGTTCCCATGGCACTAGTCATTTGCCATTTAAACTAAAGCATTTATGCCCTTAACGCTGGAATAACAAAACATCATTTGCTCCTCTTGGATGAATATTTTATTGGTAAAACAATTTTATTCGTCCTAGCCTTTATATTTCTGAATATCTCCTGGATTTTACTAAGTAAAACGAATATAAGTAAAG